GTCAGTCAGAGCCAGAACTTGCCGTACCACCCAAAGCTGCATATCCGGGTCCCTTTGACTGCTCGCACGACGGCACCACCACTGTCGCTTCCCCGCCGCTCCCTACTGCCGAGGATGCTAGTCAAGTTGAGGATGCACTTCTTGGGGCAGGCGAATGGGGTATGGGTGATGACGAGATGGAATTGTGTGGACTTGACCCCGAAGTAAAAGCGGAAGAGAGCGACTCCGTGGACATAGATCTTACCGTGGACACCGATCCCGAGGTCAAGGCGGAAGACAGTAGCTCCGTCGACCTAGATCTCACTCTCGAGGACGATGATGACTGCGTGCCATCAGGGAAGGAGCAGCCTGCAGAGAGCTGTCCAATATGCGAGAAGGAGCTTGCGGGCATGAGCACTGTGGTTCGCCGTACGTTCATTTGACACCTAAAATCTATGCTGAACGAGTGACTGGACAGCATATACATGACCATGTCGATGCGTGTCTCAACGCTCTTCCTGACACCAAGCCGGCCGCTGCTCCGGTAGCATCGTCGAGCGCAAAACCTCTGCGTCCCCTGTCGTCTTTGCAGGCACCGAAGCCACCCGGCGATGCCAAAGCTGGATCCTCGAGAGCATCAAAGCAAGAGGATAATGACGCGAACGTGTTTTCCATGCTCATGACGTCTTACAAGGAGAATGAGGCGTGGAAGGAGGCATCAACAGTTGAAGATCGGAACTTCCGACCGACTAAGGCTAACGGAGGACGGCGGAAGGCTCCGTTCTACAAGGTCATGCAGGGCATGCCCATAGCCGTTGATGCGTTCCGATACGGCTGTATCCCGAACGTCGCTGCATATTTTCTAACGTAAGTGCCATCCCACTGGGTATATGCGGCCCACTCTGACCAAGAAGATCTTCCTAGACATGCACATTCGGATCACTACACAAACCTCTCGGCTAAGTGGGACAGCGGGCCTATATACTGCTCGCAAGGGACGGCCAACCTCATCATTCACATGCTGGGCGTCGATCCGAAGTGGGTGCACCCCTTGCCTATGGACGTTCCGACGACAATACCAAACACCGGCGGAGTGCAGGTCACCCTCATAGAAGCCAACCATTGTGCGTCCGAACCTTGGCATGTATCGGAACTTTCACGCTGAGATTGGTCGTATGTGCTAGGTCCCGGATCGTGTCTTTTTCTGTTCGAAGGCAAGCAGACGGTCAATGCAGGCGACAGTGCGTACAAGTCACCGTTCGTCGGCTCGGCGAAAGTCTTTAGGTACTTGCATTGTGGCGACTTCCGCGCGTGCCCTCAGCATGTGTTGCATCCCGCGGTGAAGGGTAAGCGTATAGACCACGTCTATCTCGACACCACATATCTAGATCCGAAGGTATGCATGTGCATGAACGTGCTGAAGCTGAGGCTTACCTGTTCCTTCGCAGTATTGCTTCCCGCCCCAACCTCTCGTTATCACTGCCTGTGCCGATTTGGCCAAGCGACTGGTGCAGGGGAAGTCTATGGAAGAAGCACTCTCTGGAGATGTGAAACCACGGACCATGGCAGGTTGGTTCACCCGGGTGGAGAAGAGCGACAAGGACAAGGAGAAAACATCTGCTGTCCCAGAGAAGATTCTCGTCGTCGTCGGGTGAGTCATACCCGGTCCTCACAGGTGCACCAGCTCACCGTCTTCCGCAGGACATATTCCATCGGCAAGGAGCGCATTGTGAAAGGTATCGTATCCCAGCGATCGCTCATTACGAGGAATGTACCTGACGGATACTCGTTCAGCCATTGCGAAGGCGTTAGACACCAAGGTTTATTGCGACTCACGGAAAGCGGCGATACTCCGGTGCCAGTCAGATCCCGAGCTCGACGCGCTCTTGACCACGGATCCGAAGGCTGCCGGGGTTCATCTGGTCCCGTTGGCAGTCATCGCCTCCGACAGGCTGAAGACATACATGGAACGTTGGAAGGGCCATTGGACCAAGGCAATAGGGTTTCGACCGACTGGTTGGACGTACGTTCTGTTCGTACTCGTCCACCGTCGAGTACCAGACTGACCTATGATTTGCAGGTTCTCAGCGCCGAGTGGTACGGACACGCTGCCGTCCATACCAAGTGTCATTTCCCGATCCCAGAGCCGCACGTTCACACACACGAACCTGCAGCCAATGCGCAACTCGACGTCGACCTTGCAGGTGTACGGCGTACCATACTCCGAACACAGTTCGTTCTTCGAGTTGACATGTTTCGCACTGTCATTCGATTGGACACGGATGATTGCTACGGTCAACGTAGGGAGCGAGACGTCTAGGGGGAAGATGGCAAAATGGGTCGAGCGGTGGGAGGCTGAGAGGAAGAAGCGAGGGGAGATCGAAGTGGTCAAGTACCGGACGCCAGACTACTGGTAGGAGTATACAATAGCTGGGGACATTGTGGGCAATGATGGCGTTATCCCAAGGTCCCTTTGCACTGTGGAGCCCTCACTCATCCCCGGCGGTCGACAGGTACCGGAAATCCTCCTATCCCGCCTCGTTCTTGGTTATTGATCGAGCCTGCTAGCTCCGCATTGTCGCACTCTGCTGTGAGCTCGTCGTCGTCGCTCTCGGCAAGCGGTTCCGCCATCATTGTCGACCCGAGTGAACCTACGATACGTTCGAAGTTGATGGAAGACGTGTCGTGGGCACTATCAGCGCTTGACGCATCTTCACGTCGGTCGCCAGAGTGGAGATGGACCGCTTCTCTGTTAGCATACTGTAAGTCGAGTAGGAACCGCGACACGAGGATCGCAGTGAGCCTGGGAAGAACAAGGTCAGCATTAGTGATCATTGAGTATGACATGGACAGTTGATAGCATACGGCAGGGTGAAGAGGGTGATGATGCTCGCGGGGGTCGAGGGGACCACTTCGATCTGCAACGATGTGAGTAGGCGCATTCATTGTTGAGAGCATAGTCGTGACGTACGGAGACCAGAGTCAAAGCTAGATGAAGAGTGTTCAAGACAAGCATCACGCTGCAAGCACGAGTATTGAGCATCGCGACACTCTGGACGCAAGCCTACAACTTCCAGGCACTTGGACTCACACGAAGTAAATCATGCCTAGAGAGGCCAGGGCCGGATAGTCAATATGAGGACATATCGGAGATGACGGAAGTCATGTCGTGACTTACCATGGCGAAGAACCACGGCCGTGAACGATGACGATCCCATCCCATGCCCTTGCCGAGGAATAGTGCGCCATGTAATCCCGACGAGAAGCAAGTCCAAGGCGATCTGTGTCGTCCGCGATACAATTGTGACTGTGTCGTGACGATCAGCATCGTTCGCATACTACTCGATGGTGGATGCACGTACGCCTATGCATGTCCCAGTGTCAGCTCGTAGCATGCTGTGAGCAGCCTTTATGAGCAAGAACGTGACGCACCGTTGGCCCAATTCCGGACTGAGGCCAGGGGTAATACTTGCACATCCGACAATTGGATCCACGATGCCAGTGAGACCCTTTCCGTACTGGATCTATATAGACCATAATCAGTCTCAGGATTCGGCATTATGGTGCTATGCGCTGCTATAGAAGACGCACCATGTTGATGCCGTATGGCACGAGACCTAGCAGAAGGACTGTCACTGCTAGGGGCCAGTGTCTCCCACCGAGTGCGTACGCTCTCATGGCAGCGAAGGCTATATAGCGACGTCAGGAAATGGTAGGATAGGCTGTGAATAGTATACCTCACCTGCCCATGGTAAGTACTGGGCGAAGTAAATGGCGAACTGAGTGTCAACGATGACCGTGCAACTAGAAATGATGTGAACCTGCGTCAGCTTCTAGACTGATAGGGCTGGTCGACGGACGTACGCCTGCCAATGATGGCCATTAGCACATAGTCAGAGTACCATTGGAGGTAGCGATACGACGTACCTTTACGGACGTTATTCCCTCCCCGACGACAACCAACGTAGAGCTGAGTACCAGGAGGTACCGGTTGAGCAGGAACAGAGCCGTGGCACCAGTGAAACTTTTTTTCCAGAACATTACTACTTCTTGCCCCAGGGTTATGGCATACTCATAGAACACGAGTGCTGGTGACGCGGGAGAACCTGTAAGTCAGGGTGGCCTGTCCTTGATTCTAGGACCCACTCAATGTCGCGTATGAACACGCATTCGAGATGAACCTGAAGGACCAGTTAGCTCTATTTCTTGCGGGTATTCGGAAGGTCCAAGATAAGCAACGCACAGGGCCTGGTAGACGGCGATGATCTGTGCGGCAGCGTCAGGTTCTGCGTCGGAAGACATGTTAGCGAGAGGTGAAGTACCGTGCAGGCAAGACTTGCCTTCTATTTAACGGAGCAAGTTGACCGCCTTGCTTCCGCCGATCGCGCTACGCTTGTAGTATATATCAGTCAGCCCACACTGCTCGATGGGTGCTGTAGCGACCGGACACACTGGGCAGCTTTACGTTGTGGAGGCTGCGCTTGAGGACAGATGAATCGCAGCTGGAGCAACCACTATAGGATTTATACGGCAGCTCGACGCCGCAATCACGCCCACAAGTATCTGTTGGAAGGAGAAGACGTGCGTCCATCGACAGCAGCCAGGGAAATGAAACCTAAGTTCGGATTGACGGATGGGGAGAATCATAGACGTATCCGGATCTGCCACTTCAGCTTGGGCGAATGGCCGGGCGCTGCAATCAGCTGGTGAAATACTCCAACTTGAGTTCTGATAGCAGACATGAGCTGTATAGGCATGCCCTGTGCAGTGTTACCAGACGTTGAGATCAATATTAATCCTGTCTACTTGGAGAGATGGCCAGGACGATGCTCAAAAAACTACTACCAAGTCCCGAAGAAACTGATGGGTTCTCATGCAACTACCAGAACGAGTGTCTGCATACATAACAACGACAGACACGATACAAGTACAACAATGCAAGGGTAGCAACAAGGCTGAAGGATGAAAAGAAAGACACAATGTCAAAGCCACCGCGAAAAAAAGAAATTGAAAACTGCGACGGGCCTGGCCGGGAATTGAACCCGGGACCTCCTCCAAATACGCAAGCACTGCTTAACGCCCTAAGAAGGAATCATACTACTAGACCACCAGGCCATGCTTAATCATCACAAGCAATTTATAGAGCGCACATGTTTCGGACGCGTCACTCGAGCTTACGCGGTCCAACGCGCGTCCTTCCTGACAAGCCTGAGAGTGTCACGGACTCTCACCTACCTACGTGCCACAATGTCCTCACCACAAGCCTCGACGTCCGCGAACACCATGGATCAACGCAGAAAAGATGCGCTCAAGGGGTATAGAGACGTGAGTATAGCTTCCAACCAATGGACCGCGACGATGGGCTCACTTTCGCGGCACTAGAAAATGCGGCAACATGAGAACAGCAGCCAGAACCTGAAGAACCGTATGTCGCGCGTGCCAGTGCGCCTGGTGCTGCTACTCACATATCGCTGCTGTAGTCAGATTCTCGCTGAAGGATCTCGAGAAGGACTTTGAGAAGACGGAGGATGACATCAAGGCCGTGCAGTCGGTTGGCCAAATCATAGGAGAGGTCATGAAGCAGCTCGACGACGAGAGATGTGCGTGTTTCGGACTTTGGACGTGCTAATATCGGGTGCGCTGAACGCGCAATTGTTGTCAGTCATCGTGAAGGCGTCCTCGGGGCCTCGTTATGTCGTGTCCTACCGTCCGACCTTGCCAGTGGCGAAGCTCAAGATGGGCACGCGTGTCAGTCTCGACATGACCACCCTCACCATTATGCGCATCCTGCCACGAGAAGTCGACCCGCTGGTGTACAAGATGAGCTTGGAGGACCCCGGAGGAGCAAGTTTCGCGGGTATCGGTGGCCTTGGCGAGCAGGTTCGGGAACTGCGTGAGGTGTGTACTTCGAGGCTCTGCATTTGACGGGCGTGACTGACGATTGCTCCCCTTTGTTTCCCTCCACAGGTCATCGAGCTCCCACTACTGAATCCCGAGCTGTTCGTGCGCGTAGGCATTAAGCCACCAAAGGGTGTCCTGCTGTACGGTCCCCCCGGAACGGGCAAGACGCTCCTCGCGCGTGCAGTTGCCGCGACCCTCAACACCAACTTCCTCAAGGTCGTCTCGAGCGCAATCGTCGACAAGTACATCGGCGAGTCCGCGCGTGTTGTCCGTGAGATGTTCGGGTATGCGCGTGAGCACGAGCCGTGCGTCATCTTCATGGACGAGATCGACGCTATCGGTGGACGGCGGTTCTCTGAGGGCACGAGTGCGGATCGTGAGATCCAGCGGACGCTCATGGAGGTGCGTCTTCTCTGTCCGTCCGGATTGTGCTTCGGAAGCTGATAGCTTGTCGGATGTGTAGCTGCTGAACCAGATGGACGGTTTCGACTCGCTAGGGCAGACAAAGCTCATCATGGCGACGAACCGACCGGATACCCTTGACCCTGCACTCCTCCGACCCGGTCGTCTCGACAGGAAGATCGAGATCCCTCTCCCCAATGAGCAGGCACGACTGGAGATCCTGAAGATTCACTCACAACCCGTAAACAAGAGCGGCGAGATTGATTATGAGGCAATCGTCAAGGTTCGTCTTGTGATACCCTTTGCAGATCCTTGCAAAGCCTAATGCGCTGCTGCGTAGCTCTCGGACGGCTTCAACGGTGCTGATCTTCGTAATGTCGTGACCGAGGCGGGCATGTTTGCCATCCGTGATGACCGGTATGTAACTCAAACATCTTGCATGCACGTTTGGGCACCGACTGTCTTTATAGTGAATACGTCATCCAGGAAGACCTTACGAAGGCGGCACGGAAAGTTGGCGAGGCGAAGAAGCACGAGAGTGAGTGATTACCATACTATATTACATCTGTGGCGTTGTCCTGACGGTGCCTCGCTATAGCGAAGCTGGAGTACTCTGCATAGGGCTGGTAGATCTTGTCGGTTGTGTTTTGTATCATACCTTACGTTGTGTAACACGGACTTCCTTGCATCTCAGGATGTCCTCGAGTGCTTGTCATATGCACAAGAACGTCAGAGCATGATCTTCAGTGGAGAAGCTCCTGATGCGTAATCAAGGCATAGACGATAAACAGTAGAGGTAGACAGCCCTTTCAATATGCAACAAACAACTTAGTAGTGCAAGGCGAGTTGCTATTTTGTGAATGCCATGAGGTTAGGGTTAGGATCTTGCAGCGACAAAAAGAAGTGGCCTGCCCAGCCCGAGGGCCGAAGCAGGACAGGGAAATATTGAGACGGTGCACAAGCCGAAGCCCGTACAAACCGCGAGGTCCCCCTGAGGACATGGTCGCCGTGCTATGAGAGGCCCCCGCGGCCCACAAACCCTGGTACATGAAGGGGTCCGTGCCATCAAGGTAAGTATGAGTTGTTTAGGCGTCGGGGAGGGGCTTATATACTGGACGCAGGGGCGCACGGACCAGGTTGGTTTAGGGCGGGTTGATGTGTCGGATGAGGGGTAGGCGAGGAGGCGGGACTGATGTGCCGAAGTGGGGAGGGCGGGACGGCGCTCCTGTCGTGGCGGACTCTTCAAGACACTTTCAACGAAAACCCACGATACATTAGGCCATAGAATATTCACTTGCTGGTATTGCTCGAACTTCGCCTGTCCGGGAGACTCGCCATATACTTGAATGGATGAGTCGTTGCCAGTGGTGTTACGTTTCTATCACCACTTCGTGACTACGATGCAGACAAAGTTCTGGAAGGCCACTCCGGCCGCCTATTTGAGCACGCATTTGACACTAGGATGAGGAGGATATGCCAGCGTATGGTGGCTTGAAGCACCGGTATGACTATGCTCTACAACAATAACATGTATTGGTCGTGTATGGCCGCCTGGCGTAATGGCAACGCGTCTGACTACGATAAGCTGGAAAGCTGGGGTAATCAGGAGATTGCAGGTTCGACCCCTGCGGTGGTCATTTGGTGATGGTTTCGCTTGGCGGGCTGGGAATCGAGTCTTGGTTGATTTGGTACGACTACTTTTTCACCCCGTACCGGACTGACGCCTTGCAATTGTCTCTGTCCGCCGTTGAAGCTTCCACTCGTTCAAACGGAGTAGCCACGGAATTGCAAGGTCAGTACAACTAGCTCTTCTCTAGCCTATCTGTCACCGCCCTAGCGAGCACTTGCGCTTGGCTCCGGACTGCCACTAAACAGACTTCGTAGCCTATCGAGCTGTGGTTGATGCCAGTGTCCTCGAATTCGAAATATCCTTTTGCACCTGATTGACTGTCTGTCCAGTTTGCTTGCGCGAGAATGAATTCCTGGTCTTAGTATTGTGAGTCTCCCGCTTCACAAATTCTCACCAGATCCCAGGCTGTCCGACTGACTGTCATCCACGATTGTCAACCCAGGTCTTTCTGATACTCAGGTGTATATGCGGTTGCGGAAAAGAGCAGGGTCATATGGTCCAACGACATGCGATCTCTCCCCGCTGGCTTACGGTCGCATTGAAGGCATCCGCTGCCAGGGCCCGCGAACCACGGGCGAGGCGGAGATGGCTCCGCAGAAGCATGATGATCGTCTGAACTTTGACTGGGCATCCACAACGCCGTTCTCAGCCTGTTACAGGCCACGGCATGGCCACGAAGGCCCCGCATGACGGGTTCTCTGATACATGCGTGGGCGAACACGCCAATAAGCTTCGCGCCCTTTGGCAAGCGCGTTGAGCATCGTCGCAGGTGGATCAGACTCGCCCATCGTATTCCCATGTGTGTGATTCCCCTCTCATCCTCTCGCACTCGGTGCTCATAGGTACCGGTGAGACGAGCTGATGTGAGATGCGTGGCTTACGGGGAGTCCGAGTGGTTGGTCCTGGGAGGTGAGTAGTACTGCTCGATAACGGTACCGTCTTCCTCACTCACGGCTATGCACAGAAGGGACACCCTACGGCACTGGGCAGTGCAGCCCCCGTATATGGCACCTTTGAAGGCACCCCCCATCCCGTCGGACGCATGTCAAGTCTGAGGGTGGATCGCGAAGCGTTCGCCATATAAATCTCCTTCTATCAAGCGCCGTCGTCCTTCGAAGGGTACAGCGCCAAGTTATTGCGGCCTTATGCAGGCACAGAACCTCACGTTCGACGATACTTAATGGGCGCAATTCTCCTCCCTGCGCCCAGGCCTCTGCTGTGTTGCACCAGCTCCTCCCGAGTCTCCCAAAGTCTCCGTCTTCTGAAGATGTCGAGTGCCTCTGCCCAACTCACCTCGGAGTTTTCTGGACTGTGAGTGATGGGGAGGATCCTTTCGTAGCTCATTAACTCATCTCAACCCACAGGGTCATCGCGAATTACTGCATATTCTCTTCTGCTGGTACGGCGTGCTGGTGCTCGGTTCCGGGTAGCTCTATGCTCATACGAGGCTCGTAGTGCTAGTTCTCTACGAGCATGCGATCACTTTGGACCGGGAAATCGCACTGTTCTGGAGGAGCAAGCCGAACGGCGCCGCGATCCTCTTCTTCCTCAATAGATACGTCTACACCGTCTACAGCATTCTGCGGTTCCCGGAGTCGTCTGTTACGCTGCCTGTACGTTGTCTCTTTCCTTCCCTCAACTTCGTGTTTCGTCTGACGACATGTTGCTAGGGGTATGTTTCCAGGCCGTCCTCGAGATACGTACTACTGACAGGCCTTGCCAAGGTGTACACCTCTGACTCGTGCCCTCTTCGCCATGGTTGCATTCGGATACTGTACATGGGCAGGTACGTGATCCTGCTCCAAGCCCTTAGGCTGTGCTGAAGCTGATCCGGATGAATGACAGCCTTCGCTGGACTGCGTGCGTTCGCGTTGAGCCGGAACTGGTTTCTGAGCATCGTTGTCTTCGTGCTCTCGATCGGTACAGTAGCCATCAACTTGGTACGTCCCGTACTATGCGCATACATGCAGATTGACGCATGCCCCTCCACAGGCTCGATCCGGGTATGGCCTTTCCGGGGTGAACTTCCCCAGGATCGGGTGCGTAGTGGCGAACCCTGCTCTCGACGAGACGATCAAGAGAATGTGAGTATCCCGGCATGCTTGATCCGACGCCATGACTGAGCACTAAGTACTGACTCCTCTGTTGCCGCAGATGTGCGTGGTGAATGCTTCGTGAGATC